CCCCCCCCCCCCCCCATTCTCTGCAACTGAAGTGACATCTTAATGTATCAACCTATCCCAATCTGTCCTCCATTCTGACTGGCAGCATGTCCATTTGCAAGAGCAATATTCCCTTTGAAATCCATCATTACTGCAGTTAATAACCAGTTGTTATGTTAACAGCCCTTGGGCCGATAACTTATCAAACTGGTTGTTAACTGGAAGGTTATCACTTATTTTCAAACCAGAAGTACGAGCATGTGGAGGTGTTCTAGGTGCATATCACAGGTTACTTCTACCATAAAGAACTTAAAATGGAAAAGTGTATAGTGTTACCCTTTGGGATGGTGAGGGATTTGCATCCAGTTCCATCTGCTAATTTGATTTTGCATGTTTGTAAGCACCCCTGGACAGCATCCTAATTTCAGGTACAAAGTGTACATGGTTCCATATCAGCTTTACTGTTTTGTTTGTGCCCACATGTGCAGTAGCCTACATTTCCAGATGCACGGCAATGTGTGCTGCACATCTGAGATTAATATCTGGCCCTAAAAATGTGAAATGAAAGACCGACAATTACATGTAACTCAGTTGTATTAAATAATGAGCTTCCTCAGATGCAGTGAAAATATGAAAGTACAGCTGTGCTAAGCTAGTAGCAATGTAGGTCAATCACCCTTTTCACTTAGGTTTTTAACTACGCAAACCCTGCTGAGCGACCAATGACTACAAAGTGCTGTTTCATTCCTATTTAATTTTGGCAGCATTTTACTGAAGAGCAGGCATTCATGCAGCTAAATTATCTTCACCGTTTCTGGTTTTAACTCCAGCTCCATGACACTAAATGTTGGAGTGCATATCTCTTAGTAAACACAAAGAATATGGTTTCTGATTTTTTAAATCCATCTCAACATGGAAATTGAGTTAGAACTTTTATTACTTTTGCACAATTTCTCCGGCCACCAAATGGATCGTAGGAAAAGAATTAATAAAAGAATGTATGGTGGAGGGCAGACTTGCCTTTTAAAAGTCTCTAGAAGCAGAGGTGGGGAGGACAGGGATACAAAGCATTACAATTCTTCCTTTTTTTTTTTTTTCCCTTTTAAGTTTGATTTGGCTTGTAAATTTACTGCAGACTTTAAAAATATCACTGAAGAGCTATAAAGATGACTAGATTACTTTTGCTGTGGAAAGGGGTGAATTATATATGTTGTTTCCTTTTCGTTTGCTGGGCTGAAGACTTCAGATGAACCAAGTTTAAAAAAATATCGCCACAGATCTTGTAAATAATGAAAGCTCACAACAGAGTAAAGTGTTCAGGCATAATACTTTATTAAAACATAATAAAGAGTGTGTCTGTAAAATATTTAATTGTGAAAAGATGGGCAAGCTTTGCAAGCTGCAAAATGGGAGTAGTTTGAGGTTGAGCATCAGCATTTGCTCTAATTCCAGAGGCAATTATTTAAAACATAGTATGTGCCAGGATACTTTCTGAGTGAAGGTCAGAACAAGGCAGTTAAATTGTCTTCCAGTTTTGCGCTGATTAGCAGGTCCTGTTTCTCTTTTCTAACGTGGCTAAAGGCATGTGCAAAAAATTTCAGATGCCTCAAAATTAATCAAAATACATATTTGTTTGTATAAATCTCCATATGAATGCTTTCCGTGGGAGTGAAAGTTGAACTGTATTTAGAACAACACTATTATACACTTCAGCTTTCTTAGAAGGCCAAGATCCATAAAAAATTTAAGTACTACATAAAGTTTTGGATATCTTTTAAGTTCCACTGAACTAAGTGTTTTACAAAACTAGGGCATAAGAGCTAGCTTGGGTTTTTTTCACTAAGGATTTTATCCTACAAAGCCATACTTACATGAAGTGGATAGGACTATTAACACAAGCAGAGGCTTTTGTAAGAATGGGCCCTAAAAAGATGATTTTTTTTTTTTTTTTAATTTAATATAAAGTGGCAGCCCTCTATCATTTGCTTGGTAATTTGTGCATAAATAAGTGTAAA